GATTTTATTCTTCAACTGGTGTACCCAATTTTCACCGTATCATTTAATTTAGATTTTCTCTAACTACCGTTGTCCCTCACAGCATCCAATCATACTTTTAATTTTGAATCAAGTTCATCAAACTAATCCATTACAGAAAATTGTCATTTCCAATTTTTGATTATTTATTCTAACTTCTTAAATCTGTGAAACAATTGCACATCATTCTAGAGGAGTCTCTTCAGCAACACAGCTCTGAAGGCGATTATCGGATTTAGCATTTTAGAAAGAAACTCTACTTTATTTTTATCTATTTTTTTTATATTCAATTCATTTCGATCTGGAACAGTCTTCCTCTGGAGATCAGGCCCAAAACTCATTCGCCAAGTTGTTGCAGATAGCCTTATGCGCTGAGATACACATTGATTTGAAAGTAGTTCTAAATGTAGGCACAACTATGAATCATACTTTCCCTAAAATCAACTGTACATCAAATATGCAGTTTCTGATGTGACTTGATTACTTGATTAATCAGGTAATAGTTTGAAAATGTCAATACTTCCCAGTTTTGGTTCTACATCTCGCCTTCAGCTCTGCAGCAAAACAGTGCATCCATCCAATTCTGTGAAAAAGGCAAAACAGCAGTGAACCGTGCCAAGGAGGAAACTGCAAAGTAAGAGCCAAGCAGAGAGTGCCAAGGAAAGTAAGAGTGTCCCTTTATCACCTGTCAGCAGCGTGCAGAAGAGTGTGCATGGAGACGTGCCTCTGACCCGGCCCAGGGGAGGTGGATTATCTCTGCACAACATTACACTTCCGGTGCTTTGACATTATGTTTAAAGAGAGGAGTGGACACGACACACACAAACATCCACATCACAGCGTTGGGTCCGCACGACTGTGGTGTCTCTGTCCTGAATGTATGGGCACGAAATGTAACAATCCTGTAAAGAACCAACATTGAAACGACCAAGTTTTGTTCTCCTGAGCAGTGACGGTCAGATGAGGCCGGTGAGGCCCGGCCTGACCTAAGATCATGGAAAGAAAAAAGAATAAAATGGAAACAGTAATACTTGGTCATTATATCAAGTGATTTGTGCTATTGTATTATTTCAATGTAACTTTTCCTTATTTCATTTTTTTTGCCTTGAAATCGCAGATTTGACAGAGCGGCGCGCTGTGAGGAGAGC